TTTCTAGAACTTAGTGTAACCACACATATCACCCACTATAACTAACAAACCTGGCACCTGGGGCGTTCCCCGGAAGGAAGCGTTCGCTATGACAAATCTGCTTGTAACAATTACACTAAACACAGAGAAAGAAGTTGTATCAGAACTTCACGTACACGTACGTGCAAAGTAAGGTTCCACTACATATCAGGGTTAAAAAAGGTTTATGGCTCGCAATTTACTACAGCTCCAATTTTTCTATAAAATTAGAACTGTATTTAGTTGCGAGCCCGAAGGGTGAAGCTATCAGTGAGTGTGCGCAAAGCTGTATTCCGGACTTCTAATCCCCTAATCTGTCTCTGCATGTCTGTCTGTAAATAACGCAATCAGGTGTACCCTACACATACTAATTGTGATCTAGCCTGTCCCCCCTCATTGGTATAGGCATATCCACAATCACCATTTGGCTAGGTCACTCTTGTGACATACGATTGTGATTGACTGATAATCGATATAAGGTGAATACAACTTTGTAAGCGAACACTCGACGCTGACAATCAAAAGGCAATCGTGTTACTTGGGTATAAATCTAGGTTAATTTCGACATTAACGTCATCATTTTTATTTTTAGTGACTGCTGCCGTTGTATAGTGTTTTGCAATTTGATATAGTTCTTCGAATTAAATTTGCTCATATCAAAAAGATATCTACAGAGCTTGATCCCCTATCTTTTACTATGGCGTACTATTCTTTCCCATTTGTTCATGCACTAAAACGTTATGTGAGCTACATGAAATCTAACGACTGGCTAAGAGTCAGCAATTTTTTGTAGGTCTGGTACGTTTGGCAATTCATTATTACAGACAATCTGATTTGACTTTTGGCAGTGGGCGCTTGCCAGCGAAAAGAGGGTGACAATAAATAGCAGCTGCCACATATTCAAAAGATTATATTTATGTGAAGAGCCTCCCTTGTCGTAATCGATCTCTTCTGTGCTTGTTTCAGAATAGTTGTTTTGTTAAAAGAATGGCGACTCTGAGCCTTAAGTAAGGGTAAAATGATGATGAAAATGAATGTTCTTCTTGGGAGTCGCAAGTGAGCCTTCACTTTTCGCTAATGAGCCTTCACCCTATACACTAATCAAGTAACTGTATTTTATACTCTTTAAATGGTAAATATGGTTGTTGTACGTTTTTAAAATAACGTCCATCCATCTCATATCACCTAAAGCTTCGTACCGCTGACCTCCCTTCTAAAAATCGACATGAAAGGAACATACCAGACTACAGGAGAGCTCTTTCTTTCTGTTGAAAAGGTTTATCACGCGCTTGACGAGCTGGCACTGCCGGAAGTCTATGTTACAACAATGAAAGGTTAGCAAAGGGTGGGTAACAGTAAGGACAGTGAGGTTAAAGCAGTGAATTGCAATACTTATCCAACGCTATTTACAACAGGCGATTAAATAAGATGGTTGTATAATAGCACTCAAGAGCAAGTATAGAGTGAGCAGCATAAACAAATGTGTAGTGCGATTTAATGATTTTCTGATAATCGTTAAGGCGGAAGATGGTCTGAATATATTTTAACCACATTCGAAGTGACGTCGTCGGAGCCTTTCGTGGAGGTCCTCATAGAGATAGGTGTTGTGTGGGCAGGATTGTATTCACCTTAACCAGGCCGGTGCGAGCCTACATTTCAAGCGCTCTCAGTACTTCACAGCACAATGCAGCAAGAAGTATGAGTTGACTTTGCTATGTCAACACATCGCTGTGGTGACGACCGCAATCACGGCAGATCAATCGGATGTACCAACGCCAAAGCAACGCGACCAAGAAAGTACCCCTTCATCAGCGATAAATCATTCTATGCAGCCTCTCGCGCATAACCAACGAATGTGCGTGCAGCCCTTGCCGAAGCAAGCGTAAAGCGTGGGGACTTCAGCCATCCATAATATCTACCTGGTCTACTGCTTTAACATTTTGCGGCTGCGCCATTTTTTACCTAATACAATTTTACTTGCACGATGCATTTCAGGAAATGTCGTTCGTTCTCATCATACAAATCTTACTGTCCTATTTTATGCAGGTGGCATGCTCAACTTGAGACCATCACAACCTGGGGTCGTGATAATGGATGTAAATCCAACTCAGGTAGATCAACTGTCACTGACTGCCACCTTTTTTCATTAGCTGTCGCCAAATCCTCACCTGTCGTCAGCTTATTTCCAAAATATCCCATTATCCAGCAGCGTGACCAGGACAATGCCTTACCCGAACAATTTGGCATTTTGGGTGGTTTCAAGTTTAATTTCTTGATTATTGTATGTGTTGCAGGCTCATTAGGGAAAACTGAAGGCTCATTAGCGGCTTCATTTCTCTATTGGCTAATGCAATTTTATTCTTAACCATTTCTTGACACATTTCGCCAAATCGTGGCGAAACATCTTACTTCTGTTTATTTTTTGCAGTTTTTAGTATCAAGTCTGTTGATTAGATTGTCCTGGCATTCTGGACGACTAAAACTTCTCGTTCGAGTAAAATCCCACACCTTTCGACTCCACTGCGTCAAAAAACCAAAACTTCTGAAAACGATCAGACAAGTACTAGGTTAATTCTTCAAAATCCGCAGTGAAATAGACTTCGAAAATTGCATAAAACGCTTCGTATTGAGCTCTTTATGCGGGTGGTATTTTCGTTTACAATACAGGCTGGGTCAAAAAATGCGAGCTAAAGGCGTATTACTCTAAAAACAAATGGGTTAGAGCTGTTAGAAAATTCTTTGTACAGTAAAAATTCGGTTTTAAACAAGACAAGAGAAGTTGGGTGGGCGTGAGTGGGTACGCCGAATCTGAAATAAGGAATGGGTGGGCCCAAGTGGGCTCTGTCCACCCATGCCCAACATTTTAGCCTATGGACGGGCGCGGTAAGCTTTGATATGAAACTCCATCCTGTCTGTAAAAGATAGGGGAGCAAGCTCTGGAGCTCGCCCTTTTACATAAATAATCAAGTTCGGAAAACTGGATCAAGTTGCAAAAAAACACTATACAAAAGCAGTCACTGAAGAATGAGCATGATGCTGTTAATGTACGTGTTTGATCCAGTCCAGTGAACGTGAACTGCGCGATCAGCTTTTCTTGATGAGCGTCTAGCATTTGACCATGTGATCATATTCAACCTGATAGATTTTAAGCCTATCACGTGCATGCGTCACAATAGTGACTTAGCCAAACAGTGGCTTCGGATATGCCCATACCTGTGAGGGGTGACAGGCTAGATCGGACTTCGTATGTGTAAGGTACACCTAAACGCGTTATTTGCAGATACAAACACAGACACACACAGACACAGATACGTACGATTTAAAGGCTTAGCTCACAACCTTGCGCACACTCACTAATAGCTTCACCTTTGAGCTCGCAATAATCGAAGTCACTATTTGGCGGGAAGACTATTTGGCTTGGTCACTTTTTGACTTGGTCACTGTTGTGGTGCTCGCACATGATTGACTTGAATTTCAATCAGGATGAGTATGATCATTATAAGCAACACTGGACTCTCATGAGCAAAGGCTGATCGCGTTGCCCGAGTATACTGAACTGGATAAGTAACACATTGAGAGCATCATACTGATTCTTCAGTGACTGCTGTTGTATAGTGTTTTGCGACTTCATTCAGTTCTATAAACTGATTTGCTCACATCAAAAGGAGAGCTCCAGAGCTTGCTCCCCGATCTTGTTCACACTTAATTATTACCGCACATAAAAATTCATGTGACGGACTCATCCCGTTACGTTACCCTCCTAGCCATCAGTCACATTAGTGAGTGATTGATGATTGAGTGACGTTGTAACGAAGCTACCACAGCTCTTAGTCAGAAAAAACTTACGACTCTAGCAGTCACTTCGTTTTACGGAACGAAGATTCCCTTAATTCAACGAGTCTCTATTTCTCAGAACTAAACAACAAAAACTCAGAGACCTTTGAAGCTCGTACAGCTTCTAGCCCCGGCTCAACGGACAAACAGCGACTCTAAGAATCGAAGGCACAAGGTGCTCTAGAGTATACGCCACCAGACGGCTCTTACTCTTAGCGATCTACTGACGTCTAAATTAGACATGTGTCACTCAAAGATCAAAAGGAGAACTGAGCTTATATTTATTAGTTTGTCTGTAATAAACCCCATCGAACTACGTGATACTGCATGCAAACTGATTCGCGCAGTAATTTTTAGCATATAAAAGATTGATGAATGCTACATCAATCGGTCATGAACGGATGACGGATGTTATCAACCACATCAGCTATCACTGATAAACTTGGAGCTACATATCACATATCCACGGTATGCCCTTTTCAAAGAGACAACGATCTGTGACCCCCTCGCAGACTGCGTTGAGTGACTCGGTCTGGTACAGAGAATCGCTTGTTGGTCCATCCCATCCATTCACGCCCATCGCTACTTTTCACATTCATAGCAGCACTTCTTTGGTACCCAGAAGATTTGTATTGCGCTGCAAAAAGTGCCTGGAAGAACATCAGTCCGATAAGTCGAGCCATAAAAAAGGCAGCAAATTTATTTTGTGCTCTTCGATCGACAGCTTTTGTTCTTACAGTCCCGCAAACGAGCCTACGCTTTGCGACGCCACCTTTACGTTTGGCACTGGCTGCGACCATGCCGATAACAACCACGTGTTTTCGTGTACGACTGCACACCTTACAACCCCGCAATCTCGACACTAACAGAAACGCCCATCACTTCGTTCACTTGCGTTTAGTGTCGATCGCGACCGGTCGACTCGCGACAAATAAAATGATCGCTACAAACAAAAAATGCTACGATTCGTCCAGTGCCAAGTGCCTCCCGACCGTCCCCTGTCAAATCCGATCACCTTGTTTATTTCGCTGAAAGGATCCGTCTGCACAACACGGAATCAGTCAGGATTCAGTTGGCAAACAGCGACCAAATCGCTCAAAGTAGCAGCAGCGGCAGCAGCAGCAGCAACGACGTAGTCGACGGGAGAGATGGGCGCCGCTCAATCGTGGCTCTGCGGGTCGAACCTGGGTCGAGAAGATAACCTCCTGCAGTCAGGCAGTCGGCATACGAATGGGTTCACACACACCCGAGAGCTGCACGCTGCCAGCTTACGACCGGTGATCCCATCGACACCGCAGGTAATAATGGCTACATCAATGGCGCAATTAGAGACTCCAAGGCTACGTATCTGATTAATTGCTGTGTGTGATGTGAGCAGATGATCAAGCTACAGGGTCCGTCGTACAGTAGTGGCAGTTTGGAGGCGAAATACGAGATGCTGGATGAGATTGGTGGGTCCGTTGGACTTATTTGGAGAATGTATGGAGACCTTGAAGCTGACTGTAGTTAATGCTGCTGCTGTTTTTAATGCAGGACATGGAGGCACGTCGGTCGTGTACAAGTGTCGTGAGCGGCGTTCAGGTATCGTCCGAGCGTGCAAGATCATTGATCGACGTGCCGTTGAGAAGGAACATAATGGCGCAATGCGGCAATTGCAAGTGTGTAATGAGCGAGCTGTGTTGCGTGTTTTTCGTAGTGTTGAGCCTGGATGGATGTGGCGGTTTGTACCGGATAACTGCTGATGGTGTCGGGTGTTATGTTGTGCAGGTGGAGATCCAAGTACTTCAGTCGTTGAAGCACCCCAACATCATTCGCATCGAAGACGTCTACTTGTCGGGATCGAAGATCTGTATGGTATGGTGAAGACGCACTTGTGATTGTTTTGTCGTCATGTACAACACTAAGAGGTGTGTGTGCGCACCTTTGCAGGTTACGGAGTACATGGGCGGCGGTGAGCTCTTTGATTATGTTGTCGATAGGGGGACACTGTCGGAGGTTGAAGCAAGCACAATCGTTCGACAGATCACGTCGGCTGTTGACTATTTGCATACTCGTGGCATTATTCATCGTGATCTGAAACCTGGTGGGTCTGCGCGCAACGTGGTGGAGTTATTTTTGCTGTGTTGCCCAATCGTCACGCGCTAAGCGATCTCGTTCATGCTGCTGAACAGAGAATATAATGTTGACGAGCAAATCGCGCGGAGCAGATGTGAAAATTATTGACTTTGGTCTCGCCAAGTTATTGGATGCGGATGGCGAGACGGCTTCGTTCCTGGGAACGAGAGGGTACCTAGCACCTGAGATGCTACAACGTCAGGCGTATTCCATGTCTGTGGATATGTGGGCGCTGGGAATCATTGTCTACATTTTGCTTTGTGGTTGCCTACCCTTCGATGATGAAAGCAGTAAAATCGCCAACGACAAGGCCGCTCGGGTAGGTGACGTGGTCATTGACAGGCGTAGCAGCGACCACGTCGACGTCGGCAGCAACTCACCGACCGTGTTTATGTAGGCAAGGTTTGGTCTCCGCTTTCCTCGGTGGGCGAATGGTTTATCAGAGAGTGCAAAAGATTTACTCCGGCAACTGCTTGGTAAGAACAGCAGCTCATTCCTTGCTGGGGTCAAACGGTTCGTGCTCACTTGCCCGATTTTGTCTGGTAGAGGTGGACTCGGCCAATCGATACTCTGCAGAGCAGACGCTGGCCCATCCATGGGTCACAGGTGCTCGCACGTCCAACAAGTACCTCAAGTCTCCCAATTACCTTCGCACCATCAAACAGGAACAAGTTCGAGAGAAGATGAACAGCCGTGCGAATGGTATGCACGTTCTGAATGGCAATAGCGCGGAAGTGTGCAACAACAGCAGCCTCTCGATAAGCGTCCGAAGACAGTCTCGTTGACTGATGTATCATACTCGTAAAACGTCGCATGAAGTCTAATTAGCAGCACATGGACACGACAGTGACGACTTACTGGTTACGTTCGCGCAGTGATGGCGATTACAGCGACTTTGTGGCAATTGTTGGCACGACACATAAACGGGACAAAGACTAACCGGCGAACACACCAAAGCAGATCCGTCAATTCTAAATCAGGAACATTTACTAAATCATGTAAAAATAACTTCTTGTGAGGCGATTGCTCGCTGTCAAAAAGCTTACAAATATGGTCAAAAGCCTCCCGAAATTACATAAAAAATAACCTACTTCTCAAATTTAGAAAGACCACACCTGATCTGAACTTTCCTCGCTGCACTAGTTGCTACTTAGGGTCGAGATCAACAATAGTCCTATTTAAAAGCTGCACATAACCAAAACACTTAATTTTTAGTCGGTAGCTTTGCAGATTCCAAAATAAAGTGTTTTGATTGAACGCAGTTTTCCATCGCTTGTCTTTCGCCTCATTTGCCCATTTGCGCCGTCGAGTCCACAAGCGCCGCACCGGTCGAGAAGAAGCAGCAGAAAAAGAAGAAAACCACCGCAGAGGCCGCTTCAAGCCCTTGGCAGATAGCGTCAACCCGCACTCCTAGTCCGCTTTTATTCAGCTGATCTCAGTGTTCTGTGAGCTCGCTCGTGAAACCCCTTAGACAACGGGCAGCAAGTGTATCCATCCACCTGTGTATCCATTTCCTTTCCTTGTTTGGCTGCGTGAACGACTAAGTAAAGATGCGGCGCTCGACGCGACTAGAACACGCGTCATCGGGTCAGGCCCCGCGCATGTCCGAATTAATTGCACAGCATGCGCAACTTGTGCGTCAGGTCCGTTTTAAAGCAACTTTACAGCTCTTTTAACTCGAACAAAGGGTTTTTAAATTGCAAAACATTACGAACCTTGGGAAGGATAGAGAAGGATAGAGAAACGATGGAGTTGGTTTTTTGCTTACTGCTTTCTTCTTCTTTTTACCGTGTCTGCCATAGGGCACAGACGAGTCAGATGACGAGTGGAGACCTGACGGTAAAGCAGACACAAAGGAGGAAGAAGATGGTGAGTTCTCAGGCTCGGCGTCGTCATCTGAGGGAGGAATGGCCAAGCGTTATGGTCGAGTGAACAAGCGGAAGATCTTGAATAGTGACGGCAATGATCAGGAGAAGAGACCTACTGGACCTCGGTCGAAAATGAAGAAGATGAAGAGGGTCAAACGTCCGATCGAAAATTCTTCAACTGCATTTCCGTCATCGCCTCGAGGGAAGGCAAAAAAAAGTGTTGCAACAGCTGTGAAGCGTTCTGCCGCTGAGATTAAAGACGAGACGAAACGACCTGGAAACAGGATGGAGTCGATGAATGAAAGGGAGACAGTGTCGGATCCTCATCGGCGGCCCATGAAGCAGCCGAAACGTGCCAATGTTCGTATTAAAGATGACCGCGTGGCGCAGCAGACGACGGTCTCGCACAGTGGCTTGCCGTCAAATTATACACTGGACAATTTTTTTGACGAAATTCTGGAGTGGAAGTTTTTCGAGGCGTTGAGGCAGGGAGCACAAAGTAGCCATTCATCTGCTACAACAACCGACGTATCTGAGGAAGGCGAAGTTGGCAGTGAGGCTGAGGTTGAGAAAGTGCCAAGCAAGTTTCGGTCATACGAGCACTACTTTTCGGTCTGGAAACCACTTGCGCTCGAAGAAGTACAAGCGCAGACAATCAACGCTGTGACTTCGGTTCATCCTAGCCCGATCCCGGTCACCGTAAAGGGCTTTGGAGCAACATTCATCTCTACGAGCTGCAAGATTCGTGTAGACTCGAAGAAGAAAAACGCATCTGGTACGCGGCGCGGTCCGCTCAACGATTTATTCATAAACGATTTGGTGCTCATATCGCCAGATGCAGACTATTTCCGTACAGCATTGGCTTCATCGAAGGGTGGTCATAGTGAAAGGGGCGAAACAAATGGCGACGCCGCGACGGATACTCCACCTCTTGGGTTTCTGGCCATTGTGGCAACCCAGAAAGCGTCAAAAGAGGGGCTGACTATGACCATCTTGAGGTCGGGATGGGTGGCATTGGAGAAAGAAAAGAACATCCATCTTTTCAAGCTCAATAACCTCATCACTAGCGTCCGCGAGTTCCGTGCGCTTTGTGAATGTAGTCGTTACGGACTGCTACCTCTGCTACTTTCAGGCAAGCACAAACAAGAAAACATGCAGCTTGATTCGCTTGGACTCAAGTACGTCCAATGGCTCTCGAGAACTTTCAACGACTCGCAACGTGAAGCCATTACGGCAGCCGCAACATCAGAAGGGTTTACTTTGATAAAGGGTCCCCCAGGTACCGGCAAAACTACTACACTCAAAGGTCTGCTGAACTCATTGCATTTGCGCGAGTATAATCGGTATTACAACGCCGTATTGGATGTGGCGCGTCGTCCAGATAATCAGACAGCAAAAGCGTGGGCTCGGGTGGGAAATGAAAAACCTCATATCCTCGTCACCGCACCATCCAATGCTGCAGTCGACAACATTGTGAGCAAGGTGATTGAAGAGGGATTCTGCGATGGCGAAGGACGACGATACTTTCCTAAAATCGTTCGCGTCGGACGAGGCTTGGTACGTTCACTATTGCCAGCGTAAGCAGCGTGGTCTGACATTTCCTCTTGTTCCAACAACTTTTTTCGCTAGAGTGCAAATGTACAAAGCGTTGGCTTGGAGAACCAAGTAGACCAAATTTGCAGCCAACCGCTCGAAGTCATCGAGGGCCAAATTGATCGCTTGCGGCACGAGCTGATGGTGGTATGTACAATACTGATATAGCGGTACTGTCATTCGGTAAATCATAACCTGCTGTCGATTGTTTAGGTGGAGCGTGATTCGCTAACATTACGAGATCAGTTGCGGGATATCGTTGCATGGATCGAGCACGATCCAGTGAGAGCGTTAGAAGAGATTGCTCAGGCGGAAGCGCAAAGAAACAAGTCTGCGGCATCCGCGCTTGCTCCGGCTGATTTGCCACAATATACTCAGCATCCGCAGCCACAAGGCTCGTCCTCCTCTTCAGCTACTGCCGATGAACCGTCTCCGCCTCTGCCGCAAGTATCAGCAAATTCAGACCCCCCTCCGCAGCTTCCTTCAGCTACTGGGTTTACTGCTAAGCGTTCCTGTATGGGAGATGCTAGCATAGTATGCGACCCTGGTTGTGGTATCGTTGATATTGGAGAAGCCGATACTGATGTGCCAGAAGAAGAGGAAGAAGAAGAGGCGTTTCCTGCTTCCTTTATGGATCCACCACCGGCTTGGGATGAGCAACACGACATGTTCAATGCTCGAGCAAGTGGACAGGCTCTGAACGCATTTTTGGACGATGGCAGTGTCTCTGAAGAAGATGAACCACTCCCGGGTGGAGCTGGCTCCAACAGAACTGAAGGCCACGAGGGTCGTGGCGAACCCTCATCTAGTGTACCCCAGTTACAGACAGGTACTGCAACACCCAGCGAAAAGGACACGAAGAGTTATCGCATTGACCGTGCGACCGTGTCATCAGCGAGTAATCCGATCATAGTCGACGGTAGTAGCAGTGACGATACGTCTGAGCAGGACGAACCCTTGCCAGGACGAGAACAAAACGCTGACGAACGTGAGCAGGACGAAACCTTACCAGGACACGAACCAAACGCTGAAGATCGTGAGCAGGATGAGGAGCTGCCGTCGATACCGGGGCAACCAAAGGAAAGTCAGTATCACGAAGTGATTAACTCTCCTCGCAGCCTGTTACCGTCATCGCCACCTCCGCCTCCACCGCCGTTGTCACCAGTATCTCCACCTCCACCTCCTCCATTACTGCTACCGCCAGATCTTCCTGATGGTCACGACCGCCCGTTGTCTCCGGCCGTTGTTATATCGCAGTCTCCGCGTCCGCCTCCACCTACAACTCCTGACATAGCGGAGACAAAAAGGTGTGACGTCATCGACTACTCAAGGTATCATCCATACGTGGCCATGGCCCAACGAATCAACGGATGTTTGGAGAAGCTTGCTGAGGTACGTGTTTGTGTTTATCTTTTACTTGTACACGACTAACAACATGCGTGCCTCTTAACCAGGTCAAATTGGAGTTACAGCGGCATCAGTTCGCTCGTCAAGCAGTTAGTGAAATGAGCGGCAAATTGTCACAGTCGACGCGGCAATCTTTGGAAGTTTCATTTCTAGATACGGCTCACATTGTATTCACCACGCTGAGCAGTGCAGGTGTTGCTGCACTGGATGCGAGTGCCAGATATGATGTGCTGGTCGTCGATGAAGCAGCTCAAGCTGTTGAACTGTCTACCATTATTCCGATGAAGTACGTACCGCACTTCATCGTACTATTCGTGCTGTGGCTTACAAGTGCACCTTTTGCATTGCTTGTTACAGGTTTGGCAGTAAACAGTGTGTGCTAGTCGGCGATCCACAGCAGCTTTCGGCAACTGTTTTTTCCCGTAATAGCGGCCAGTCTTTGTATGAGCGGAGTTTGTTCGAGCGATTGGAAAGCTGTGAACACCCCGTGCACATGCTACGAACGCAGTACCGCAGGTATGATTGCTGGTGTGACTGATTGGAGTTGCTAGCTAACTAACTTGAGTATTGTCTCGTAGTCACCCGATGATTTCAGATTTCCCGAGGAACTACTTTTACAATGGAAAGCTTCAAGATGGAGACAATGTGAAAGGGGGCGACTACGTAAAGCCGTACCACAACCTTGGCCCCGCGTTCATGCCGCTGGTATTTTGGAACCTGCTCAGCAGTCGCGAAAAAGCAACTAAATCAGTGTCACGATTGAATGTCGGTGAAGCTGATCTGGCAGTGAACTTATACCTTACACTGAGGAACTCTTGCCCTTCCGACTCGATTGCTGGCAAGGTTGGTATGATTACGCCGTACAGCCAACAAATGGAAGAGCTGCGGCGTCGTTTCCGTCACGCGTTAGGTGAGCGCTATGAGCAAGAGGTGGAGATTAATACTGTTGACGGTTTCCAAGGACGTGAAAAGGACATCATCATTCGTACGTTGGTTCTTCTGCATTATTTTGTTGAAGCGGATCAATTGTAAGTATGTTAGGATCTGATGAAGTTAACCCCCGACGTTTGGTGTGAAACAGTGTCTACCGTTCGAGCTGACCCGAAAGCTGGTGTTGGTTTTTTGAACGATATTCGGCGAATGAATGTGGCACTCACTCGAGCCAAGTTTGCATGCTATGTGATTGGCAAAGAGAAGACTTTGCGTTCCTCGAAGCCTTGGTCGGCTCTGTTGGATCATGCGTATAACCGGCAATGCATTGTCCATGTGGAAAGCCCGCTGTGCAATCTTCTCAAGCTGCAGCCGCTGGAGCAACCTGCTGAATCAGGAAGGAGTTATACGGCAGGGACACCAAGAAGCTTGCAGCATCAACGTCAAATGCCACCGAAGCAACATGACGCAAGTCAGATGGTGCCACCTGGCTTTCATGCACCGTACGGACCATCAGGTCATAGATGGAACGGTAGTGGACGAGCGAATGATGGAACGCATGGAGGGCGATGGAATGGTCCAAGAGGAGGTCGCGGTAATCGTGGGCGGCGTCGAGAAGCGCCAATGCCACCATACGCGTCACATCAGCAATTCGGGCAGGGTCCGGGTCCGCAATATCCACGGCAACCTGCACCCGGTGAATTTGAACAGCACACGTCCATGGATAGTGTAATGCAGCGTGGAGGAAGACCTCCTGCAGCAATTGCACCCCCACCACCCGCTCCGGGTTATCCTGTCTCTCGCGGCCCGGCCCCAGTCTTCCGCTCTGCTCCCGTGCAAGCTGCAGGACCGTACCCTGCAATTGCCGCTTCTACGTTCCCTCAGCCAATGACTAATGGTCCAGGACGTGCTAAGCCCCGAGATCCTCGGCACCGCGGAGGAAGGCAAACAGGACCTTCTGATGCCGATGATTGATCATGGCGTCGTCGAGTTTGAATGGACATTCGAGTTAACCGGGACTCATTGTGAACACGTGGAGTCGATATACTCAAAGGCTAGTGTGTCCCACTGGTAATTTACGAGTTCTGTCTACTCGCCGGAAGTCGGTGATGACTGTTCGCCGAGATTTCTGCACTGGTGGGCACCAGACCGATCATTTGTCGTGTCAAATTGGTGGTGGTTGGCAGCACTGAGGTCGTCAACAGCATCTCATTTTCAGCGACAACGATACTCACGCAATAAGGTGCATTTTTCATGCTGGGGCCAGCAATTCTTTGTACGCTTGGTACGCCTACCCGATGGTGAAAGCCGATCTATGGAAGTAAGCAGACTCCGTCCGTATCGAGAACGTCAAGGGCCGTTTGCTCGCTCTATACAACGAAGTTTTGTATTGGCATGTTGTTGACTATGGTTCAGCCGCCTATAGTCGGACAATATTTCAAGACTCGGTGGAGGCTGTACGTGCACAAGAGGATTCGATGCACGAGTACACTGTACGAGACTTGCTGTGGCAGCTCTTTGCTTTCGTGATGTGCGAAGGCTGATTATGTTTAATGCTGCACGGACTATGTCCTGTAGTGCGACGTAAACGACAGATCCGGTATCAGCACTCGTCAAGGCAAGACATCTACGCGTTGCTTGCTAAACCCGATCTCCAAGGATCAGACGGTCTAGATGGCACCCGAATGAACAACTCCCCGACAGACGCGAGTTTCCACTCGCTTTTCCGCTTGACGGTTGCTGGTACCCACATGCAACACGGTGGTGTTCGTCTGCTAGTTCTCTGTATGTGTGCTGTTGCTGAATGTAACTTGGAGTATGGGCAATTTGATTACAGCACTACATCGTGTTTGCTTCAACACAATGAGCAAGGCCGCAAGTGCGACCAAAGTGGATGCAGCACACTGAAGATTGATGAAAATGGACACACGAGCAGAGAGAGTATGAAAGGGAAGGCGTACGTGCCCCCATAGAAACTCCCTCGATACAGCCAGTTATCCCTTTCAGGCAGCACGTACTCCACTGCAAATACGGTTCCCTACCACGACTTTTTCCTGGACCACCCACCCATCGCCAGGCCACTTTTATCGTAGCGCACGCCATGTTTACCATTATCAAGCTAGTAGTGGCTAATGGTGGTGCCCACTTATGCCTTCTGGAGAAAATCAGTTAGACCAAACCGGCAATCATCCTTCTCCCACTTGACAGCGGAGAAGTCACTCTTCACTGTAGACGTGAACGGATACGCGATCACCAAGCCTCTACAAAACGTCTTCAGGTGCCCGAAACGATGTTTCACGTAGTTCCAGCCATCTTCAAACGTCGTGTTGACGTCGCACTAATCCAAGACCTGCCTCGAAGACGGCTCACGCTCATTAGCAGCTCGATGTTCTAAAGACTCCTGCAGAAAGGGCCCTATACTTTGCCGGCAACAAGGGGCGGACAAGCGATCCCTTTGCTTGTGGATAATGTCAGCGAAATCTAGACCACGAAGCTTGACGAGCGGATGATGCAGAGCAGGCGGCATAAAATCAGCAACATCGGTCCGTGAATAACGTTCTGCCACAGTGCTTGCAAGGCTGGCAGCCAATTTGACGCAGCAGCAAGTGGCGATGCTCTTTTCAACGGCAGCCATTTCGTCGGCGCCGATCTCTTTTACGGCCGCGATTAAAAACATCCGCCTAGGTCCGTCAATACGTCTTCGATATCGCTGAGATTATTGGAGAGCTTCTTACTCACTGACAGCACATTGGATTCCAGGTCGAGCACTTCCACAGCTTCTTGGCCAGCAATCTGTGAAGCGCTATGCCAAGATGCGTGAATTGAGGTTAACTTCAAAACGCCTTCGCGTTGCTAAGAAACGAGCGCTGTCAAGCCAAAACAATGATGTTTGCCTTGTTGGCAACCTTTGCGACAAAATGATGACCATCCACCACTTGAGTGGCGGTGCGCAAGGCGAATGCTTCTCACCTAGATACGCTCGTACTGGCACTCGGTGTTGCCGAACCAAGCAGCAACTTGCACCAAGTTTCAGAAGCCACCACGAATGGAAAGTAAGCTATTAGATGTACCTTGGACATTGATTCTCATCGAGCGTCCACTTTCTTGACTTGTTTTTCTGTGGTTTTGATGAGGTTTCGTTGCCTTCGTAAGTATGAGAGGAGACCGGTCAGTAGAAAGTAGACCTCATCATCGAGTAGATGCTAAAGAAGCTGCTTCAGAACAATATCAAGTTGGTGCAGGTCACACCAAGTCGAAAGAAACCAGGCTTCGCGACTCGCCCAAAGCAAGTAGAGAAGCCTTGAGCTCTGCCGGTCATCTTTTGTTCATCGTCTGTCGAAATGAAAATAGTTTGATCCCGCGAGTTGGAATGAATGGCATCCAGTGCTCTTTTAGGGTGCAGAAATATGCATTCCATAGTATGACTGCTAAACATTGGTATGTCGAGCAAACAGAAGTTATGAATCACGCTACATGCGGATGGTCGAATGCGGATGTCCAGATACAAGGTAGACAAGTGTATGGACATGTCCATAGCCAGGGGAAAAAGTCCAGCCTGATGCCAGCATTTTCGATACATTCTAAAGATTCCGCGCGCAGACGTACCGAGTACAACTTGTGATCTAGCCTTCACTTGCACTCCCGATCGACGCTAAGCCGTTAGATCCTTCGTCATGTAAAGAAAGCAAGCAGCCATTCGAAATGAAGCCCCTCCACTAACTTATCCGACGACGAGGCAAAACTGAATGGGGTTCTTGATGACAATGCGATAGCGGTCGGTCTGAAGATCCGAATCCTGCTTGTTCTCTTCAGGACTAACAACAGAAAATGGCCAGAGCTCGCTCCTTAGCTGTCTCTTCGCTCGCGTCATCTGTAACGGGGCACCCTGAAGCTTGTACTGGTGACAGTACAAGCTACTTATTCTGATGACAGAATAAGGCGGTGCCTCGTATAGCTTCACGTACACTGGTACGTGCAGAGGAAGACGGTAAGAAGAAGCGAGTACTTGGTTAGAGTAAAAAGTAGAGCTGTATTTATAATAGTTAATGTCTGCAATAAATCACTATTTATCTTCATCTAACTATGTCTAAATACAAATGTGTAAATCAACTATCTGCTCACCACTCATTGCGTGCGTCTGTCGTGGCGCGTCTTCGTTGGTTGATATAATGGCCTATATCAACCAATTAGGAACTACTCGTAAGTGCTACAGAATATTTGTCCTTATGACAATATTCTGAGAATATAACTCTTATAGTTATATTCTATTAACAATTTCTTATAAATTGTTATGTAACGATTCACCCCGTTACATCACCCCCCCCTTAACCATCAGTCACTTTAGTGACTGATTGACTAAATGGATACTCGTCCCAAATCTTATGGGACAGGGTTTGCACTTGTTGGTCCGAGTCCACTTTCCAACATCTCATCGCATGGTTAACAAGCCCATGCGATGCGCGAGCAAGGCCGCCGAGAGCGCGTCTGCACGTCTCTGTGCGGACGCCGAAGCAGAAACCACAGCAACTGATGTCTCATCGGTTGCTGAAGCGACCCAGCCTGTGTCACTTGGTGATGCAGGTGCTGGTCATGAAGACACTCATGTCTTCACAGAGTACGAGCTCGGTGTCTCGTACTCTCCTGATACGGAAGACGGATCCGTATCGACGGCGATTGAATCTAAGCCGCCTGCCAAGCGTGGCATGGACGATGCTTTGCGTCGCAGCATCTTTGGTTCATCTGATGAATCAGATGAACCATCGCCGAAGCGAAGGCGCTTGAGGTCGCGAGACTCGGGCGCTAACAGTGGTGTCGGTTCTCCTATGGACACCACTTCACAGCGAGGTGCCAGTACTTCTGTCGGCACGTCGCAGGAAGAGCGGGACCGCAATGTCTTGCGTCTCGCTCCAGAAAAGAAGGCATAGATGCCTCCCAAATCCGTCATGGATCACTTGTCGGCGACGACGAGTGATCGTTATCGAGCACGGTTGTTCGATTCTTCAAGGATCCATCACCTTGACCCCAGCGCGAAAAACTATCGCGCTGAGAATGAGTTCTTCATCGATGCTTTCTTCAAACATCGATGGTACAGTGGGAATCACAAACGTGATGGTCCCTCACTGCTTCAAGCGTGGAACGCCTACATCCATAACCTTGAGGATGTAGGTCGTGACGCTTGGAACGACAAACTTATCAAAGCTCGTGATAAGTTTGAAAAGCGAACCCCGACAGGTGCACGCTACAAGCTGCATCGTCTGTCAAGGGAGAAAGGATTACCCTGCCTCTCTTGGGGAGACTCGTGCCCATGTTGTGTGAACAACTCTGCACGAGCACCTAAGGAGGCTTACCTCCCTAATAGCCCGTGGTGGCGCGTACGTGTCTCTACTGAGATGTAAGAAGGGATTGACAACCTGAAATCCCTTTACGACCGTGCCGGGAATACTTTCTCCGGCGGTCCTTCTGCGGCACAGGATGTGCCGCGTCGTACTGCTCAACCAGACCCGGTACGTCGATCATCAGTTGGGAGCGGGGCTCCCAAGAATCCCAGGACGGGGGATAGCCGCGCCACCGGACGAGATAACTCGTCCGACGTCCGTTCACGTCGCGGTGGTTCAACAGCTGCTCAACTAGATAGCGCTGGCCACCGCGAGAGTCCTCTAATGGAGGTGGAGGAGGAGGAAAGACGCTCTTTAAACTATCGTGGGGATGCGTGTGTTCCCGAGAGCTTCTTTGATCGCGTAACGCAAGGGTTACGCGACGATCTCGAGCATGAGCGGAATAGGCGTCTCCAAATGGCGGACACTGCCTCGAAGCATCGAGCTGAGTTTGCCTTTTCTCAGCTTGAGAACGAGAGATCTCTGACATCTCTTCGTGACGAGCTAAGGGTAGCTCGTGAGATTGTTGATCGGTCTCGGGATGAGATAGCTGCTCTTCAGACCCTTGTTGATGCCCACCATCGGGAGCACAAGGCTCTCTGCGAGATGCTTGATCGCAAGGGCGTTCTTCATCGGAAGAAGCAGCGTACTGATGGTACGGCTTAAGCCGACCAACGTAAAACGTGGGATGCGTTCGCATCTTACGTGGTAACTCGATCGTGTATGCATTGCCTAGGCGGTGCAATACACGAAATGGGCCAATGTACTTGGGTAGTAGTTTACTGCTACCCAAGTTAGTCACTACATGCTTTGGTAGATTAACCGTAGACAGTAGGACTAAGTCACCTTTATTAAATAAAAGAGTGTTTGCCCTTCCATTCTTGTCAGCGTTTTGCTTTTGCTTATCCACCGCTTCGGCGATGGAGTCTTGCACAAAACGGACTACCGTTTCACGAGCCAGTATGAACTCATCTGATGACTCGTTAGCTTCAGTGCGCTGTGAGCGCACTGCAGCAACATCAACCTTTTCTTCAGTGAGGGCTTCCGCACTCTCACTGGGATCATCTTCTTCAGTGAGGGCTTCCGCACTCTCACTGGCATCATCTTCTTCGATATCGATGTTATCGATATCGGCATCAAACGCAATGACTTCTTCGTCAGAGCGTGATGAGCGTGAACCAATTCGGTTTTTGCTCGCGCGAGTCCCCCCCCTTAAACCAGAGTTACACTCTAGTAAGGTGGGTACACGCGGATTGCGCAAGCCATTCACGTAAAACGGTGTATGTGTCGTGGACGCATGCACCGAGTTGTTGATGGCAAACTCTACCATTGGCAAAAACTCACTCCAACTCTTAAAGGAGTGTACGTATCCTCGAAGTATCTCTTCAAGGACACGATTGGCACGTTCCGTCTGACCATCTGACTCTGGATGATCAGATGTTGACATCTTCAAGCGCGTTCCGAGTGATTTGAGCACGGAACGCCAGAAATCAGCAGTGAATCGTGGATCTCTGTCTGATACGAGTTCACGGGGCAACCCATGAAGTCGAAAGATGGTGTCAAAAAAGACACAAGCACAGCCACCTGCTGTGATTGTCTCTGGTACAGCCACAAGGTGTACCATTTTGCTGAATCTGTCAACAAATACGAGAATACCCGTATTCCCGCGTGCGTCTTTGGGTAACCCGAAGACGAAATCCATTGAGATGGATTCCCAGCACTCAGCCGGAACCGGTAGAGGCTGTAAAGGTGCACGCAGTGAAGGACTTGACTTCACTCGTTGAAAGACTTCGCATGCGCGAATGTACTTGCGCACAAACTGATACTGGCGGGGCCGATAAAAGTCTCGACTCACCGTGAGATATGTTTTCTCCCGGCCACGATGTCCTCCTATAGGAGCATCGTGATACTCGAACATGATCCGCAAACGCAGATCAGTATCATTTGGAATGACAACACGTGGTGTGTCACCAGAAACGGCTGTATAATACAGTAAACCGTTACGAGTAGTGTATCGATCTGATGCAGATCGATACGCAGATGACAATCGTTTCAACGATTCTGGAGATGGCTGTGAGAGATGTGTCAACAACTTCACTATCTCACCATCTTGGGCGTATGCCCGCCTCACATCATCATACAACGTTATAGATGGGACTGAGGACGTCATAACCGCAACAGTGACTGTCTCCCTGTTGGGTTTCGCGACTATTTCAAAGTCGGGACGACGTGAGAGTGCATCAGCGACGACATTGAGTCGTCCTGGTTTGTACTCGACCGTAAAGTTGTATTCCGCAAAGAACGACAACCACCGCGCCATTCGTTGTGAAAGGTGCGGGCTGTTCACTGCCGTGCGTAATGACGCATGGTCAGTGTAAACAATGAAGGGTCTATCTCCTAATAGATAGACTCTGAACTTCGCGAGTGCATACTTCATGGCAAGGAGTTCCTTGTCATGCACTGGATAGTTCCGCTCAGCTGGTTGCAGCTGACGCGACTGATAGCAGACGACGCGTTCAACGCCTTCGAGATCGTACTGCATTAATGCACAGCCGATTGCGAAATCGCTGGCATCACAGACCACATGAAATGGCCTGTCCTGATCGGCTATTGCTAGGACTGGGGATTGTATCAAGCTCTGCTTGATACCCTCAAAGGAGCGCTGACATTCAGCGTTCCATAACCACCTCTCGTTCTTTTTCAACAAACGAGAGAGGTGTACAGTCCTCTCAGCGTAATTGCGTGAATACTTGTGCAAATACGCCGCTAGCCCAAGGAATTTTCGAAGACCTTTGACATCAACCGGCACAGGCCAGTCGGTGATCGCCTTGATCTTTTCGTGATCAAGACGTACACCGTTCTTACCAACGATGCACCCAAGAAGTGGTATTTCGCTTGCTGCAAATATACACTTCTTGAGGTTAGCATACAATTGATGCTTTCGCATGATTTTAAGAACTTGTCGGACGTGGTACCTGTGAACCTCAACGTCCGACTTTCCATCCATAGCTCGACTATGGATGAATACGTCATCGAAATAACTCGGCGCGAATTCTCGTACTGGTCTCAACAGATGTGATACACATCTGTTGAACGTGGCAGGGGCATTACTGAGCCCTTGTGGCATTACTAGCCATTCCCAGAGCATGCCGCTAGGCGTGCTAACTGCGGTATAGGGTACATCCCGTTCTCGCATAAGGATTTGATAGAAGCCATCCATCAAATCCATGGACGAAAAGATGGTACTCTTTGACATACCATCAATGATTACGTCCTTCCTCGGTATCGGCGTCTGAGCCGGTACCGTTGCAGCGTTCAATTTGTTGAACGCGTACACTATCCGCCACCCTCCTGTTGCTTTTCGCACACAGAAGGTCGGAGAGCTATGTGGGGAAGTTGATTCCCTCACATGGCCCGCAGCTAAACGATTGGCAAAGAACTTGTCGATCGCAAGTACTTGTTCACGAGGCAGTGGCCACTGCTTCATGACACAGTACTTCGAGCCTGGTTTAAGCTCGACCTCGTGTCGAATACCTTTATCCTTCGGTAATTCGCACGGAACAGTTTCAGGGAATACATCCTCGAATTCAACCAAATCTTCATAGAGAGGATTTTTCTTGAGCGATTCCCATGATTGGGAGTCATATCGCTCAATTCGTGTCTTTTCATCTAGGACACTCTCGTCCATAGATGAACTACTGAGAACTATCTCGTTCTCAGTAAACACTGTTGCTGACCTTATGTCGGTTACACACTCGTCGTCAGCGACGAGTACGCAGATCTGCTTGACTTTGCCACTACGCAGATCACGCAAGAACCTTTTATGTTCGAGCGTTGGAAACTGAGTGATATCCGAAGTTAACTTTGGAGGCGCAATCAGATCAAGTGTATAAGCGCCTACACTTGATCCGTTATTGACTATGACATTCAATGTCTCTGTCATTTCCTGGGGACTTATTCCCTCAGGCTTCGAAGGACTTATTCCTTCGGCTTCCCGGGGACTTATTCCCGCGGGTTTCGGGGAACTTATTTCCGCCGTATTTGTAATCTTGGGACTTATTCCCTTTACTTCCTCTAGCTGGGGTTGCGCAACCACAGCAAGATCCTCTACGAAAGACTCTCCAGTCGATCTAGGATTATCGTTTCGCTTAACCTGAGCGATCGATTGTTTCTCTTCTAGATGTTCCCCGCTAGGGATACATCTTTGTCCCAGTCCACCCGACTTATTCGAGTGGTGGACCTTCGGCGCAGCCTGTGTTTCGTCACAGCCGCCGGAACTTTGCTCCGAAGTGTAACCGTTTGGTACACTAAGGTTTTGTGCAGTCGTACTAATTACCGTACCACAAGTGAGGCCATCGCACTCACTCGTAGTACATCCACACGCTTGTGGACGCTCCAAAACGTTCATCAGATGGCCATCTGATGAACAAGCGGCAGGCATCGTTACTGTCCGATGTTGCCAGTTTACTCGTGGTTCGTACCTTCTGAGCCACGGTATTCCAAGGATGACATCAAATTTGTCATCCAAATCCAATACGATAAAGTCGTCGTCATATTGGGTATCTTCTAGCGTATAGTGGATCTTCACTATACGCTTCATGACGGTTACGGATGCGCCTGTCGCAAGACGTACCGTCATCCTCGTAGGAGGTGTGTCACATTCACTGAATTTAAAGTGACCATCTTCTAGCGATTGGCGTCGCACAAAATTGTTGGACGCCCCACAATCGACTAGAGCTCGAAGGGACAACTTATTCGTCACTTCGAGTTTCAAGGCAATGAGTGAGACCTCATTACCTAGAGCAGCAACGCACAACGTTTGTGTGTTGGGAGCAACCTTCATCAAGAGGCCTACAAATTCTCTTGACGTTGCTGGATCAGTAGGGTGCTCCGCACCTACTGATCCTGTCCGTTTTTTGACGGTCCATCCCGTTGTTGCGTCTTTGCACCAACAGCGGACCCTCGTCCCTGCCCCTTTCTCATGGGTGGACGGTCACTACGCCCAGTGTCGCGAGACACTGGACGAGGGGCACTACACTCGTAAGCCTAGTGTCCTGCCCTTTTGACATCTGTTGCATTTCTGCAACTTCTTGTAGCCTGTAGAGCGAGCCTTCTCGCTCTCTACATAACAGAGTTCCATCGGCTCTGGACCTCCGCTGTCATATCGTCTCGGTTGACGATATGATGTCGAGCTGGCGCGAGCCTGTCTCAGACTGAAGTCTTCCTGTTCCGCAATGGAAATGGCTTGTTCTAGTGAATCTAGTTCAATCCGGAACAGGTAAGTCTTGACGGGACCATCCGCAAGACCCTGCATGAACACCGAAACCAACGTGTGTTCATCCACCGGATTGGAATTTATACAACTCGTAAGATGTCGTATATGTTGTGCGTAAGCGTGCACATCACGCTTACCCTGTTTGAGCTTCAAGAGTTCAGTTCGAGCTCTGAACTCAGCTCTAGGCGGTTCAAACGTTTGTCTGAGCCGCGACTTGAAGACTTCTAACGATCCAAACGCATATGGGTCGTGCAACTTGAGCCCCAGTGCCCAAGTCTTGGCACGTCCTGCCAGATTTGACTGGGCAGATGCAACTTGCATATCCCCGTCGTCGATGCGACGCGCCCTTATGGCGTCGTCTAATTCGACGAACCATCTCAAGAGGGAGTCCTCTTCGACTCCCCTATACTTGGAGATGTCAATCTTCAAAGTCTCGGGTCGACGCGAGTGCATCGACCCACCAGCAGCAGCCTGCTGCTGTCTCAACAGTTCAAACTGTTGAGCACCCTGTTCTCTCAACAACTCTGCTTGTTGAGAACCTTGTTGGTGAAGCAAGGCTACTTTCTCGCGTTCGGCGTCAAGTTCATTTTGAATGAACTTGGCGATAGTAGCATGTTGGGCATCTCTATTGAGAGCCTCTAGCATGACGCTAACAGCATGGATGCCCATGGTCGAACCCATCAGTTCAACCGCATCCCATTCGACATCGCTCAAATGGGAGTAGCCGTCACGCGTAGCGTGAAAGCTTTGGTCATCTTCATCATCCAACATATTCATGTTGGATGTGAACGCGGTCCTTGGACGGACTACGAAGTGCTACCAGGTGTAACGGGGTACCCTGAAGCTTGTACTGGTGACAGTACAAGCTACTTATTCTGATGACAGAATAAGGCGGTGCCTCGTAACTTCACGTACACTCGTACGTGCAGAGGAAGACGGTAAGAAGAAGCGAGTACTTGGTTAGAGTAAAAAGTAGAACTGTATTTAGTATAGTTAATGTCTGCAATAAATCACTATTTATCTTCATCTAACTATGTCTAAATACAAATGTGTAAATTGATTATCTGCTCACCACTCATTGCGTGCGTCTGTCGTGGCGCGTCTTCGTTGGTTGATATAATGGCCTATATCAACCAATTAGGAACTACTCGTAAGTGCTACAGAATATTTGTCCTTATGACAATATTCTGAGAATATAACTCTTATAGTTATATTTTATTAACAATTTCTTATAAATTGTTATGTAACGATTCACCCCGTTACATCATCAGGATGGAATGGTGTTTCAACAACGATAACATCGACGATGCTCTTGTTTACAAAGTAGTGCAAGTGGGCTTGGGCTCCGCCAAAGTGAGACTGTATGGTATTGTGATACACAACAGGAGCGCCCTGGTCAAAGAATGTAGCCTTTTGATCATTTGATAGGGGACAGTACGTCTCCGAGTTCTGAGGATAATGTTTCTTCATGTGATTTTTTGGTAAACATCAGCGCGAGTGGACATTTGAAATACTGAATGTTGCTCGTATCTTTCCGTTTGGCGTCAACCTTGCCTTTTCTACCAAAACGCACACAGAATAGGCGCATTGCTGACACGAAGACCTTCGTAGACAGGTCGCGCTCGCGGACTTTTGGACCCGAG